GGTTTACAAACACTAACAGGGGTTTCAGGGACGGGCAGTAACAGTCGGTCCGTTCTTCTATATGTCTGTCGGTCTCAAATCTAAAGGGTGCAATAACGATTTTATCCAATATGCATAAACAGCGGACACTGTTTATACGCAGCCCTCACAAACCACACACGGCCAGATAGCTTATCTAACAGTTATAACCTACATATGAGACACAGCCTTTATAGTCAGAAAAAAGTGTGATTATTTTCGGATATTTTACACAAATGATATTATGAATACTGTGGGCCTATACCTTAGTGTGATTATAAATGCATGTGGGTGAATATTGGCATGCATAATTCGTTTTTATACGTCCTATTCATTGTTTCAATGCGCTCATACATCTTAAGAAAGTTATCACCAAAAATGTTAAGAATGTTTTTAGAGAACGTTATCCTACCTTTCAGAAGAACATTCTGGGAACCAAAATAAAACGTCCCACTGAAAACGTTTTAAGAATAATAGGGCATAATGTTCTAACAATGTTATCAAAAACATCTTAAGAAGGTTATCAAAAACATCTTAAGAATGTTTTGAAGAACGTTATCCTACCTTTCAGAAGAACATTCTGGGAACCAAAATAAAACGTCCCGCTGAAAACATTCCTAGAACAACAAATGGTAACAAACATTTCTAGCTGGGAACTCACACATGCCACCGCAAACATGCAATATCTGCTTACAGCTTATCATGAATTACGTGCTTGTTTGTTTTTTTCAAAAGGAAANTAGAGTGGCACGCAACAAACTGTTCACAGCAACAATCTGGCAGGGAATGAGTGCAGGCTGCAGGCTTTCATAGTGTGGCTGATGAGCAGGTTGCAGGTGTGGTTGATTGGAGATTGCTCCCAGCCGTGTAGAGCACACCTGCAACCTGCTCATCAGCCACACTATGAAAGCCTGCAGCCTGCACTCATTCCCTGCCAGATTGTTGCTGTGAACAGTTTGTTGCGTGCCACTCTATAGCTTTTTGCCAGCATTTTCTTTGACAACTTTGCCTGCTTTTGCCTCACACTCATTTGTATGTCTCTCCCAGAAGGAATCCAAGGCCTTCCAC